GGCTATGATATTCACATCTTTAGCCTTCATCCCTTTCTCCTAAGCACTAACATTCATTTTAGTCATCTATTTAAAATGAGCTCCTCTCCGTGGCCTCATAATTACCTTCCCTTCATGACTTCCATTATTTATATTAATGGACCAATTGTCAAGATGCCACATCAGGATCTCTCTTCCTTCATTAGCAATAGCAGGATCTGAGAAAGATGAATAATAAAGCCCTACAAAGAGATCATCAGACTCTACCAAGCTCATAGCATTTGAGCTTTTGGCTTAAGTTCCAGATTCACCTGGAGACAGGGAAAGGAGCATTAGTCAGCAGTAAAAGGTTCCTAGAAAGTTCAGTTCATGACTCTGCTTCTTCCTTTCAATACAAAAGATCAGGTCAGACAGGCTAAAGAGCATTTTAATAAGTAAAGGCCCCACCCTAAGTACAGACAGAAAAGATTTGAATTACTGTAGACAAAAAGAACAAAAGTTGCCTCAGGTCTCCTCAAAGCACTGAGTCAGCAGGGAGCTCTCCCTGGTGCTACTTCAACCTTATCTTAAAACTTTCTTATTAGTTTCTATTCACAATAGCGTGACAAACTGGCCTTCTGACAGCATAGCCCTCCCCAAACATGGGCATCAGAGTTGGGCCATCACACTACTCCTACCTAACACCCTCTTTAAGGGTGGATTCAAGTCACATGAACTCAAAGCCATATGATTATCTTTGACTCCTTACTCACCCTCATTAACTACTGGCCACCCTGTTCTCTTTATGTTTTCTTTAAAATTCCATTACCAGTTTCTGTTGGGATGCTGAGAAAGTTCTAGAGATGAATAGTGCAAAAGTGTGAATGTATTTAATGCCACTGAGGTGTGCACCTAAAAATGGTTAAAATGGTCATCTTATGTTACATATACTTTACCTCAATTAAAAAGAAAATCCACTGCCAATTATTTGTCAGATACAGGTCCTTAGGACCAAGACCTAGTTTTTGCTATACAGGGCCGGTGGGGTCAAGGGGGATCAGGAGGCACCAACAAAATGGTGGCGGACCCTCTATCTTGTTACCCTCGCCTCGGAACTTTCCCACCACCAGCAGACCACCCAAGGACAGGTCATCATGGGGAGACAGGACCTATGCAGGAAACCTGAACTGCACCTTACCCAAACCCCATATAAGGGCATAAGCAGATATCGCCCCATACCGATTCCACCAGTAATATGCCCTATCACCCCACACAGACACAACCTCTTCCCCCTCCCCCCTTAAAAAGCTCACATGTACTCCTTTTGGGTGCGCCTTCCCTGGCCCCGTGACTTCCCTGGCTTCACTCCCTTACAGGGCCGCGGAACCTCGCCCGAGAGCGCTTCCATTAAAGGCTTGCCTCGACACACCTTTGCCTGCCTCTCTATTTCATTTCACTATCACCCGGATTAAACCTGACATGCACGTCTTCTAGATGTTCTCCCTGCACCTTCCCATCCATCCATCTTACATAGCACCGCTTAAAATACTGCTTCTATCCTTCGAATTTTCTTCAAAATTTACTGTTTGGAGGTCAATACTAATTCCTTAACCTAAAATTCAAAATGCTCTACCATCTAGTCTCAGCCTACATTTATTTAAGTATTTATTATTTAGTTTAATTTAATGTTTTGGAGAGATGGTGTGTGAAGGGGGAGGGGCAAAGGGAGAGGAAGAGAGAGAATCTTAAGCAGGCTCCTCACCCAGTGCATCTTGAGAGCCCCATGATCTCTACCCTGAGATCAAGACTTGAGTCGAAATCAAGAGTTGGATGCTTATCTGCCTAAGCCACCCAGGTGTCCCTCAAGTCTGCTTTTAAAATTATTCCATTTGCTAATTTCCTGCAGTAACAGCTCTGTCAGACATTCTGTCTCACACTGACCGTGTTTTTACTCATAATCTTTTTCTGGCCTATATGGTTTTCCTTTTTATCCAAAATCATCTTATGTGCCTCACTTTACTTTTTCCACAAAGTTGTTCTCTGACTACCATAATCCAAACTGATTTCCCTCTCTTCTTGTTACCACTGACTGGATGTTCTTATCACTCATTTGAAGTACTGTAGAATGTATACCATATACATTCTACCTCCCCAATTAAATCACACACTCGAAGTCAGAACACTTAATCTTTTATTTCTTGGTTTCATCCTGTGTCCAAGTAGGAGCAACTAAAATATTGATGGACTGGTCCAATTCCAACTCATCAAGTAACAACAAAAAACATTCATTGTGAGATGGAGATACTTGCATTTATATTACAGAAGATTTTTAACAGATAACACTGAAATAAAGGGATTTCTAGTTAATCCTAAATGAAATGAATGCTATCCTATCTTCTTTTTATTGCTTGCAATCAATCCACATCTATTCCCAAAACATAACTGAGATTGTTAAAATAAAAAAAATAGGTTATTGGCCCACCTAGGTAAGGGTAAGAGATCAAAAATCATGAAATGTTACCAAGCTGAGACAATTACACTGGAAACCTTAAGAAAGGCAAGTTGTTGCAGTCAGAGGTAAGTTTAACATGACCACCGGGAATGATGACCACTAAAGTCCTTTAAAGTCTCTCTAAAGTATGAACGGTCTAAACCAGAGCTGTGACTCAAGCAAAAGGTTCTGACAGACATCAAGTTCAGATAGAAGCTTTCGATAAATGCCTGGTATGCAGTAATATTGGTATGCTAACTAAAGATACAATCTCATAACTTTAGATACCAGTCAAGTTGATAATGTTACATAATGTTACATAAATGAAAGAATCTAAATAGTGTTCCTCCACACAGAGGGTCATTGTTGATCTACATGATCAAAGGATGACTTAGAGCAGAAAGAATGCTTATTGGCAGCAGATTGTCCTCTGTGGAAGTTTTGGTTTAGTCTAAATGTCTGAAAAAATACTTAGTTGAGGCTCTACAATTCTACCCCATAAAGCAGAGAAGAGAGGATCTTGATGTGAAAAATTGTAAGTATATTCAATTATGAAATACCTTGCTCTTTACGCAGGATAGAATTTGAAGCCCCTTAATATTTTTTAAAAAAGGAAACCTGGCATGAGGTTGTGACAGAATATAAACACTATTCAATCTGTTATAGGAGGACTGAAATGTAAAAGTAGGGTAATCTTTACTAAGGAAGTTTCATCAACACACTTCTGTTACCTACTTGCTACATTTCAATGGCCAAGCATAACATCTGCCCTTAGTGAGTCTGTAAAGAGCCTTGCTGCTTCCAGCTTTTGAGGGACCAGTTGTAGCATGTACTACTGTAAGAATACCACATACAGCATAAACCAAGAGAAGTGCCATAGCTTTTCTAACTGTATTATTAAAGAGAAATGTATTTTCAAGACGCTATACTAATACCTAAAAGCATACTTTATTCCATCCCTTCACTTAGCAGCTTACAATTAGTAGGTACTTCTATTAATATCTCCTTTATTGAACATCACAGACCTAGCTCCAGAGTTTTTTTAGGAAATGAGAACACTAGTAAGGCAAAAGTCAGGGTCTCTGTCGTATTTAGAATTTGTTATGGGTATATAATTACACAATTTCTTAGGTTGGATATATAACCAGACTTACTTTTAGAAGGATACCACTTGCTTTTTATGATGCAAATCAAATTGCTTGGCCACCAAGGAGAAAGGTCATGACTGAGAAGATAATTTATAAAGAAGAGCTAAAGTATAACAAAATATTACTATAATGTAACAAAAATATTAAGACAGTGCATTCTCTTTATCAAATGAAAGGTATTCTAGAAACATGATAGTCTTTTAAAATTCACAGTATTCACAAATATTATAGTATTAATATTTTAATATTAAGACATAAAATAAGGACTCTTAGTAATACTAAATATGTGATTACTAAATATTTTATATGAAGGACATATTTAAAACTTCAACTAACTTTTGTAGCAATCATTTTAAAATGATTTTCAGAAATTTATCTTAAAATTTAACATCTCCATGACAAGGCTAAAATATTCCTTATAAAAATCAGTTAAGGAGCAATGGCTACCTCCTTCAAATTCTCATACATATTACTGTGAAAAAGCTCAGTTTCTAACAAAAAAGCCTCAAACAGATCACTTACTATCACTTACCAGTGTAGAAAGCTTAAGAGCACTTAGATAACCAGAACATATGGTTTCTGCAATTTTTTGCTTTCAAATTTGATCACTATTTTCCAACAGAATACAACACAACAACATGGCCTTCGTGCTTATCCATTCTCTAGTATACTAGATGTGAATAATTATACCACTACTTTAAAGGAATGTGGTTTTAAGCAACATCCTTTTTAATCTGGCAATTAGAAAAATATATTTTCTTTTTCACTCTAACTTGGCACAAATCAGGAAAGAAATGGCTTTTGAAGACTAAATCATTTTTCCTACTATAGTTAGGAGGGAGAACTAAATAATGATTATGCCATAATTACAACCTTTCAAAATGAAGTTTCTTCATTCAAAATCATGTCATAATGCAATCAAAAATCAATTTTCTTCCAGTTGTGTAAAATGAACACAATTATTTTAGGACTCAATCTTGCTTATGAGAAAGACAGCACACCACCTACATTTTAGTCTCAAAGTCACTAACCAAATACAATTTAATTAATTAGTATTTCCTACATAGAATTTAATGCCCTATTCTCACTCCTTGTATGACAGTCACTAGTCAGAAAAGAATTTCTTTGGCCCATAACATTAGGGTTTTCCTATATTAAGTATATGAATTCACCAATAGTCTCAGAAATGACACTTACTAGCAGTATTTCATAATCACTTCAGTATTATTTTAGGGTAGAAAATGAGTAACTAACATAGAAAGATGGTGGTTACTGAGAAACCACTAGTATTTAAAAGCTTAGCCTGATATTTAAATTTTAGGTGTTCAATATTTAAAGGCTTAGTTAGTTTTAACTGAAAAATAAAACCACCTGAAGTGCTAGAAGGATTTTACTGCACTAACCCTGGAAGAGCTGAATGAATCGAGGGTACAATGCTGAGGTGATCACACTCTCTGGCAGCTCCCTCAGAAAGAGCTTCAATAGACTGGCAGCGGAACAGACATCACCATCCTTTCCAAGCTCCACAGGCGCTCCACTCTCAAACTTCCATCGGAGCTGTTCCACCACCTTTACATTGCCATTCACCCTAAAAAGGCCTTCCTGGGTGAGTCCTAGAGGAGGAGAGCAGACACACAGAAAATAAATAGAAGTCTGTCACAGGCAGACACTAACTCCAGAGAACAGTGACAACAAAATAAGTAAATCGCAGTGCAGGATTTTCTAAATGATTATCCAGTACTGGAAGATGTTCACATTCTGTAAAAATGCTTTCTTATAATAATCAACTTTCAAACCTACTAGATATCAACTAAAAAGGTCATATAGGATTGTTATAAAAGCTGACCTCTATAAATAAGGTTAGGACACATATAAACAGAATATATGTTATTTTGCAAAGAAATTACATTCATACATATTCTGTAATATATGATAGAAACTTACTCTGGGCTCCAAGAGCAGCTTACTATTTTGAAAACTATTAAAAACAAAACAAAACTAACATGTATGTAAGAAACTTCTTAACTGTATGTGATTACCTTTGTAATAAGAAGAAATACTTTACTAATCACTGAATTCAAAGGGTAAGACTTTATGAGACCATAAGGTAGTATAAGACAACTTCCTTCCCATCAGCCAGTTGAGAGGGAATATTACTGTTGGTGAGGGTTGGCACAGAAGCATCCATAAAGCAGCCTTTGGATGCTTTATACCATGTTTGGCTAAAGCATAGGGAAGATGGGAAGATGGGCTGATAAACTGTGAAGCTAATGCAGTTTAAGCTTCAGGGCTCCTCATTTATTTAGGCCCTCCCCAGTGCTCTGTTCCTAATTCTTTTTTTTTTTTTTTGTTCCTAATTCTTATTCTTAATTTTGTATTCTTTTTCTTTATAAAGGGGCCCCATAGGGTCAAGCAGTAGGACACATGACATCTTGATTTATCCTCAACAAGGAGAAGCAAATATATGAACTGAGAGACAGAACATCATAAAGGAAGATAAACACATGGAAATGTGGAGTGCTTAAGTCAAAGAGCAATGGGGTAATAAAATGGGAGAAATGGGACAGGGACACAAATGTTGAGTTCAAGAGCAAAGACCTGGTGCGTCTGGCTGGCTCAGTCTGTAAAACATTCAACTCTTGATTTTGGGGTCATGAGTCTGAGCCCCACACTGGGCTTAGAGCTTACTTAAGAACAAAAAGGGCAGACTTTATCATGGGAGCATTAAGGAGAAGGGGGAACATAATACAATCAGGGGTTAAGGAAGATCTTGCTAGCAAAGAGAATGGAGAGAGCAGAAAGATGGCTTTCTTGAACCACATTCTACTCTAAGGCAGTAAGAAAGATTCCAGTGGGAAGGGTGAAAAGGAGAAGAAAAAAAGATTTCATAACTTAGTACAAAAGGGAAGGAAAAGTTGAAAGGTAATTTCAAGGTTTAAAAATAGGAATCCAGGAAAAAGCACTGTAAAAGATAAGATGAAGTAGGGGTGATAAATTTAATAAGTATCTGGCGCTATGTTACGGAACTTAAAAAAAAAAAAAAACAGGAAAAAAATTCAAACATTACCATTACCCTTATGGAGCTTGTAGTGGTAAGTTGTTTGCATACAAAATGTGAAGAACATGAATATCAAAAGTTGACACGAATTTTAGCTCCAATTTTGACAAAAGTTTAGGAAACCGGAGAGGATATTAAAAGTATTTTACCAACCAGTGTGACCAGGGCACCATGTAATCAGAGGAGATACCAGTCAGTATGTGTGGTAGGCAGCTTCTCAAATGGCCCTAATAATGCCCATTCTCCTGATATCCACACTCTTGTGTAATCTCTTCCCCTTTTGTGTGATCTGGATCTAGTGACTTGCTTCTAACCAACAGAATATAACAAAATTACATAATTAGGTTCTAATCTTGCTTTTGAGATTACGTTATAAAAGACTGATGTGCGTCTTACTTGTTTGTCTCTCTCTGGCTTTTCTGGCTTGCTCACTCTGATGAATCAGCTGCTTTTTATTTGGTTAGCTATCTTATGAAGAAGTCCACGTGGCAAGGAACTAAGGGTAGTTTCTGGACAACAGCCAGTGAGTAACTGAGACCCTCAGGTCAACAGCCCACAAGGAACTGAATCCTACTAACAACCACGTGAATGAGCTTAGAAGTGAACCTTTCCCCCAGTCAAGTACTATTATGGCTACAGCCTTAGCCAACATCACAACTTCAGCCTTACAAAAAGGCACAAGACAGAAGACACAACTCAACTGTCCCTAGATTCCTGACCTGCAGAAACTGTGAAATAATAGTTACTTTTATTAAATTTTAGAGATTTTATTTATTTGATAAAGTGCACAAGCATGGGGAGAGGCAGAAGGAGAAGCAGGGAGCCCCACATAGAGCTTAATCCCAGAATCCTGACCTGAGCCAAAGGCAGACACTTAACCAACTGAGCCACCCAGGCGCCCCTAACATTGTTGTTTTAAATCACTACACTTTGGAGTAATCTGTTACACAGCAACAGGTAAGTAAGATGCAATTACTTAGTATTGCATCTTTACCCTTTAGTATTGCAGAGTATCTGTTATTGAGAGACTTCTTGTTTAACTCATTTTTAAAGCTTTCAAGGTCTATTTCCTCCTTTAGAAGCTTCATCTGTAACTTCAGAAATGTGTACTGCCATCAACAGATAGCACCCAAAAAATACCACCCATCCTTGGGTCAAGGCCCAAATCATGAAAATTTAGAATTCTATATCCCAGTCCTATATCTACCCAGTTTCTGAGCCTGGTTTTGGCGAGCAAATGCCTCTTGGACCGGATCTCTCAGTGTTTTTCTAGCTTTGACCTTAGGTTTTCTTTTCCAACAAGGCTTTTTGACCCTTCCCTCAAATAAATACTTCCAGTTATTCCAAAATAACTGCCCAGCTCCAAGAACTGGCTTTGGTCTTCAAGGTCCCTGATCCCCCTAGCCTTTATTAGTGGAAAGAGAAGGTGTAAATGGAAGTCAATGAAATTCACTTTTTAACTATTTTTTCCGCTCCTTTTCTATTTATATAACTCTCTTCTCTCAAAAACATCACTTAAACAATTCTTTTTTTTTTAAAGATTTATTTTTATTTATTTATTTATGATAGACATAGAGAGAGAGGCAGAGACACAGGCAGAGGGAGAAGCAGGCTCCAAGCCAGGAGCCTGATGGGGGACTCCAGGATCGCGCCCTGGGCCAAAGGCAGGCGAAAAACCGCTGAGCCACCCAGGGATCCCCTCACTTAAACAATTCTTATGATACCCAGCGATTTTCAACTTGGGGCAATTTGCCCCTGGCTTTATTATGTTTGGGGGGGGGAAATCCATACGGCTTTTTAAAGGCCCTTACAAATTTATAATATATCCAATACCCATATGAGGCTTACCAGACTATATAACCTTTCAATTTTCCTAATCTAAATTCTTAGGAAATGATGACTGGAAAGGAAATGTTCAGAGGAAGGAAAAGCTTAGCAGGCTTTGTGAAGTTTTCAGAGATTCTCAACATGAAACAGCTACTTAATAATTGGTTTAAAAATGAAAGAATTATATAAATGAAATAACATCTACACCATTGACAGGCACTTTTCTGTACAATTGAGATATTTATTTCAAAATACTATGAAGGCATCATTAGAAACTGAAAATGCCACAAGTCAGATTTGCTTAATCTGCATACTTTGCCCCAGAAAATAGTATAACAATAATGAGCATTTTGTGACACCTGGTGGTAAGAAGAGAGTCCTACACTATTTCAAATTGTGTTATCTCCCAGGATCTTCATGCTAAAGAGAAGGAATCCTGTAACATGGTCAGCAAAATTAGTTATTTTTAAATAGCATAAAGATGATATACCTTATAACTTGTAAGATTTTCCTTCAAATGGGAAAAATTACATATTTTTCCTTTTAAGTTCAAAGTCTTTTTTTTTAATTTTTTAATTTACTTATGATAGTCACAGAGAAAGAGAGAGAGAGAGAGAGAGAGAGAGAGAGAGAGAGACAGAGACACAGGCAGAGGGAGAAGCAGGCTCCATGCACCGGGAGCCCGATGTGGGATTCGATCGCGGGTCTCCAGGATCGCGCCCTGGGCCAAAGGCAGGTGCCAAACCGCTGCGCCACCCAGGGATCCCTCAAAGTCTTTTTAAAAGGCCTTCATAGAGATCTTAAACTCCTTCTGTCTTAAAATTCTTTTACAACAGTCTTCCCTCAAGTTGTTAAAGGTCTACATTTATATTAAATATCAAATATGACTACAGTATCTACCCAGGGTTAAATAATATGACCTATCATCTGATATGTGACAGACTGCCCATTGTATCATGCACAGTAGATGTACAGTAAGTATTTGGTGACTTAAAAAAATACAAAATAATTAATGAAACTCATGACTGAAGTAACTTGCCCATGAACTTCATTCTACCCATCAAGACTTGCACAAAGTTTTTGGTTTATTAACATGATAGTTTCAGACATAGTAAGGCATAGTAAGACAAAGACATATACATATATATGTATACATACATACACACCCCACATCTTTATACATTCATTGTTGATGGGCATCTGGGCTCTTTCATAGTTTGGTTATTGTGGACATTGCTGCTATAAACCTTGGGGTGCAGTTGCCCCTTTGGATCACTACATTTAAGAATAACTGATTTTCCATTTTAGATCTCTAGTTAAGAATGACTGATTTATCCCATTAAAATACTTAGCTTGGACGGGCACTGAGGGGAGCACTTGACGGGATGAGCACTGGGTGTTATTCTGTATGTTGGCAAATTGAACACCAATAAAAAATAAATTTAATATAAAAAAATACTTAGCTTGCATTACCTGAATATACACTATTAAATTCTAACTATGGGTAAGAAGAGAGAAAAGGAAACTAATACCTAATTCAAATTTTGCCAAAATGTTCATACAATGATGCTGTAAATTTAACTGGTTCAACTCCTATAGAGTGGATTATAAATCCACATATCCTTAACCCAGATCTAAAGATACACAATGCTCCAAATGACACATGTGAAAGGTTAGTCACTGAATCATTGCTTACAGACAGCAAAAGACTGCACACAATTCAGTATTCATCAACATGTGACTGCTTGAAGAAATGAAACACATATATAGTCAAACAGTGTGTAGGGGGGAAGAAAGAATTACATGAGTAAAGCTTTTTAATGCAGTATGGAAAGATCTCCACAATATACTACTAAACGACTTTTAAAAAAGATTCCTAACAGTGTGAATGGTATGCTATATTTATGTTCAAAGGGAAAAAAGAACATATGCATATATGATTATATATTCATAAAACATCTTTGTAAGACTGTATCAGACACTGGTGAAGTAATGTTTCTGGGAGAGGAAATGAATGATCAGGCAACAGGTTTTGGATGGAGAGATTTTTCATTGCATATCCTCCAGTATTTTGTACCACATAAGTATATTAACTATTCAATAATTTTTAAAACTTAAAAATGAAAATGATTTTACATAAGAGTAACCTCAAGAGGCTAGTCATTATTGGATAAAAGATCAGAACACTGACTACGCCAAAACCAAAATATTTTAGGTAGTCACACTTTGGTATCCAAATTAATAATACTGAATAACCCTATTTAAAAGATTACATGAATTACCTAGAGATCCATTTATACCTAAATCAGTAGGATACAGTTTTATTCAATATTGAGTGTTTTTGAGTCCTTCAAAGCTCTAACAATATAATGTGGCTTCAAGACCTCGTAGGCCAAGGTCCCATCTTCCTGCCATTCCTGTATGACCCCTTTTTTGTTTAACCTGTATAAAGTACTTTAATAAACACAGAGCTCTTCTCTAAGACTCTTACTTGTCTGCAGTTTATCATCCTCTAAAAATATGGAGATAGCTCCTATGAAGTAAGAATGCAAGCCTGGCTCTCCAGTTTTCAGAACAAAATATCATTTTGTCCTCTACATACCTAGTAACCTGAGCAAATAGTTGTTTTTTCAGTTAACACAAAACACCTGACCCTCTGAGGGCTGAACTACTTGCTATCACAAGTTGACTCACATTCCTACAGAGGAACAGATGTACTGTGCTTCTCACGTATTTCCAATGAAGGATTCTTCTTAGCTGACAAGGTGGAGGGGAGGGAAGGGGAATGGACTCGTAATCATGGGAAGATAAGGAAGCAAACCACACAAAATACAAATGCTTCTCAAGTCTCAAGTTTTACCTTTAAAAATGCCTACCAATTTTAAACTCTATTTTGCAATGAGTCTTTTGTGTAGAAATGTTGTTTTAGTATAGGAAACAATGAAAATTCCAAGCTTTTCCCTCGGAACACTTCCTTCCCAAACCTTCTAACTTACTGAGATTTATTATGTAGTTTGGGGTTTTCCTATCATTTTGCCCTAATGTGAATGCATGTAGGGGAAATGGAAGAATTTTCTCTCTACTTATCCAGGTTTTTAAATAAAATCATAAAAAAAAGCTGTGCTATAAGATACCTCTTAATAATTTATCTTATCATTCAATGAATTCAATTATTCTCTAATTGTTTTACATACTTATGTGCATCACTTCAAATGGAAAATGATCCCCCCAAATAGGCTATATATATATATATATATATATTTTTTTTTTTTAGTATCCCTACTGAGCTTATGAAAGTAATCAAGGCATCCAGGAAGTTCAGGATTGACCTCAGCTGAAAAAGATACCCCCAAAATGTTACCCTAAAAATTACTATCAGCTGGAATTTAATGACTCAAGAGCACTATTGTTAGTGCTAGTTTTCCAAACTAAAAACCTCAAGGATTAAATTGATTGGTTCATAGTAAACGGAATAGTATTGTCAAAATCATATTAGGCAGTAATAATACTCTTAATGGTCTTTTTAAAGGAAAAGGCATCTTACATAATTTGATATTCTAATTAAAGTGTTTTAGGAAATATTCTAATACATCATGAAGGAGTTCACACAGAAACCTTCTTGTATGTGGGAGCTACAAACACAACAGAATGAAAACAGGACTTACCATGCTTCGTCAAGTAATCCACTAGAGTCCCCACTATAGCTGGAATGCCGTTCTCTGTGAGCCCTTGCTGCTGGAGGTCTTGGAGGCTGACGCCAAATAACTTTTTATAGGAAGAATTTCTCTGCTCATTTAGTGGCACTGCCACTATCTTTTTCATGTCTTCTTTCAGCCGAACCGCTGCTTTACTTTGCTTGAAAGAACATAAGCAAGAAGAGCAGTCAGTTATATTGACCACAGGAGGCTGCATAGTTACAAGACAAACACCTGAATTGGAATGTAGGCATCTGGAGGCCCGTAGGAGTGGTCTTCACTTATTTTGACTTCAACGCAACTCAGTACTACTAATATCTCTCACATGTTGCTCAGCGTCATGAATGGCACATACAGATAGAATAGTTAAAAGAAATGAGAAACCTAAAGCCACAACTTAATTGTAGCTAAGGAAGAGAGGAAATACACTGGAGTATCTAAGATAGATTATTACAGTAACCAGGGGGTGGGACTCACAGGTACCTGGTCAACAGGAAAATAAAACACTCCTAAGATTATTGAAACACCATGCAGATCCTAGAATAAGATTTCTAAAGATGAAAATGTATCTAGATGCCATTTTAAGGTAGCTTTAATTTGGAGTCTTAGACAAAAAATGTATATGAGTAGAGTGAACATTTGTTTCTCTGATTTAATTACATCTGTGAATATCTCATCAGTATTTTGGCACAGGAAATCAGCTCAATTCTCACTGAAGTTCAAAATATTCCATCTCTGAAACAGCAACATTTCAGGTAGTCACAATTTAAACATTTCACAAGACTGTACATATTATAAGTAAAAAAAATGCAGCTTACATTTAAGTTATTGCCACAATGAAAAATCCAAATATTTCTTTTAATAGAAATTTGTATCCCAGGAAGTGTTAAACTATATTAAAATTTATCTTTTATAACTGAGGGATTTTCTTTTTAAAGCATGTGTGCTATATAAATGTTATATATCCATAAGTCTAAACACTGAAAAGCTGGGAAAATGCAAACCATTTTAATTGGGGATAGAAGTGGTAGATTGGGGGAAACTTTCACTCTTTGAGAATGAATGTACCAACCAACAAAAGTGTAAATATTACAAGTGCAAGCTGATGTAGCTATTACCATGTGAAAATAGAAACCTTACTTCCAGTTTAGAATTGAGGAAGCAAAGATCAGAGTTAAGTAATTTGGCAGAAGTCATAGAACTGGTAAGAGTTTCATCCTCCTCTAGGTTCATGTTTCTCTCCCTAAGTTAGATTTATATTAATGTCCTAGAGCAGTTTATATACAATTATAATAATATACTACAATCAACTCTATAGGACCTGAGATGACACAATGTTAATCCTACAATCTTGATTTTGAGTAGGGTCCCTGTATTCTCAATCTGATTTTGAATTTCACAATCTACAGAATCAGACCAACTTCCATTGAGATGTTTGCATCTTCTGGTAGGTTATATTTTCCTTTTAAGATTTTATTTATTTATTCATGAGAGGCACAGAGAGAGGCAGAGACATAGGCAGAAGAAGCAGGCTCCCCATAGGGAGCCTGATGCAGGACTCAATCTCAGGATCCTGGGATCGCAACCTGAGAAAAAGGCAAATATCTGCTCAACCACTGAGCCACCCAGGTGCCCCCTGATAGGTCATACATGAAAACCAGATTTTTCTAGTGAAAATTCAGCAAATGTAAAGTTAAAATAGAGATTTAGCATCTATTAATATTATAGATAATACTACAGATTTAGTATCTGTTAATAGTATAATATCATAGTGTTAGCTACTATAGAGTAGTAGTAGTATAGGCAATAACTATGATCTGTTACCAAATTATGAACTTATTAATTAAGCCAAATTTATAATAGCTAATAACTTTTTTGTGGGGGTTTAAAAACCTATGAATACTTGTAAATACTTTCAAAATGTAGCATTAAAAACAGCTGGCAATATAAGGTTAAATCTTACACATTTTATCTCACTTCATTTTATCTTCTTACAGAGACAATACAGCATAATGTTTTGGAGCATGCACTGTGGAACCAGGCTTTCTGTTTCAAGTTTCATTCTGCTCTAATTAGCTGTGAACCCTGGACAAGTCACTTGACTTCTCTGTGCCCAATTGTGAAACGGTGATGCTAAGAGTTCCTATCTTATAGGAATATAGAAGACTGAAGTGAATTAATATACATAAAGGAATGAGAAGAGTACTTGGCATACTCAGCAATTATGGATTGTTATACATTATTACAACCATCATGATCATCACCATTATCCTTCCAGGAAATTACTCTGATTTCTTCTTTAAAAAAAAAATGGAGATATAATGTGTCTAGACTAAAGTTTGCTGTTTAAAAAGGCATCATGGTGGTCAAGACATACTAGTTGGTAGTCTGATGATCTAATTATTCTCTCTCATCTCTTAAAATATGCAAGAAGACTGAATGATAAAGATAAAATAATTTTGTATATATGTGCCATGATTCCTTAACTTATTAGAAAGTCAAGGTTTCCTTAGAAATACTGTCTATGCTTGAGTTTAACACCTTGAATTAGTGCTCTGTTGACAGCCCCTGCTGTTTACTCTGTCCTTTAGTCAGAATGGCAGCCAGTAGGTGTATCTCCTGTCAGTAGACAGTATAGATAAGCAATCTCCATGCTATAGATGAGAAAGTTTTCAAGTAAGAGACAGGCAATGGACCTCACAGAAGTTGAAGTGACTACAAATTAAACTATCTGTTTACTCAATATAGAGCCATACTACAAACAAAATTTATATGCAATCATAATAAAAGAACAGGAAATCAGCTCAATTCTATTTTTAAAATTGGTAACTGGTATGACATTTTAAAAATAAATATTAAAAAAACCCACAATGAAACAAAACAGTTATATTTCTCAAGACATCACAATCAATTTGTCAGTGACCACAAATACACACTATAAAGTGTTGCTCACATCTAGCCTGGTTGGTGAAGAGATCAGCTAGCAGGAAGCAATGAGATGTCACCAGTAGTTTATGCCTAAACTACTACACTACTTCAGTAGTTTATAACTAAATCATTAAAAAATATATAGCAGCTTACAATAAATATAATGATCCCTTCTGGTAAGTAATAAAAGTTAAATATTCATGGAAAAATAACTATAGACAATGATATATCATTACTTTATAAATGTCAGTCTCTATGGAATTTTACCTTTTAAAACATACATCTTACCTTTCTTGATTTATAAAATAAGCTAAAAATAATGGCTGAGGTATTTGGAGTCAAACTTAACTGTTTAAACTTTGGTTTGTGTATATTCCCATCCATCATTTCAGTTTGAAAACTGGAGTATATGTGGTGTGCTTGTGTACACATGTAAAGGCAAATAGGTTCCTACATTTATAAAAGACAGGGAATCTTGGGATTTTACCACTAAAACAATCCTTAGGGGTCAATTCAATGCTTATACTATCACTTTAGGAATAAAGATACCAGGCTCCCAAAACTTACAGTGCACTCAGTGAAAAATGGCCAAAACTAGAGCTCTATCTCTTGAATTTTATACCAATACTAATTTTTATAATTAAGAGCTGGTGGCCTTGGTTTTTTTTTTTTTACACCTTTATTTTTTACCAAAAAGTAGCTTAGATAGCTAACAAACTGCATGCACTGGGACTAATGCATGCAATTATTTGTTGGTTTGCAGTCACCTAGTCTTCACTTCCCCACCTTTTTTTTTTTTTTTTTCTAGTGACATATCCTGTCTTTATGCCCTTGTTGTGAATAACTCTGTAGGGACTGCCAATGAAAAGAACCACCCTGTCTCTAGCAAGAACTGGTCTCAGGCTCCCTACCAGGTCAATCAGACCTTTCTCTCTTTCAGGTCACTGACGCCTGAGCAGATTGTCACAAGCACAGCAAAAGGCTAGAGCTAATTGGTTCCAGCTGCGATATTCTCACAAGCTGTGAATGAACCATTAGATTAACTTTTGCCACCTGCATTGTTGGAGCTGCCCAGACATTGGTGCTTCAGCTGTTCTTTCCATGTGGTGAGTCACTCCATAACCTGCTACTAGTTTCTTTGGGCTTAAGGTAGCCAGAATTCATGTCTGTTCTGAGACAGAGACAGACAGACAGACAGACAGACAGACACACACACACACACACACACACACAACTGATAAAAGTATCTTGAAAAATAAAATAATCATCAGGGTATATAAAAAGCCAGGATTGTAGAGAAGAGAAAGTCAGAAAGATGATGGCTAACTTATAGGGAGTAAGTTTACTATGTTTGTCATGGCTTCAGATACTTCAGATGACTTCACTTGTTAAACCCTAGTAAAGAAATACTATGAAGAAAGAGCCTTCTGAGATCCCCATTTACAGAGGCACAGAGGATCTAAGTAATGGGCTCTCTAGGTCACATCAAGGATGTGTGTAGCCAAGAGTCACACCAAGGCAATCTGAGTGCAGATGGCACTCTGAATTCTGCCTCCACAAAGGATATGGTAAGAACAAAAAGTGCACACTGGGCCATCGAGTGTCCCTGTTAGAAATGAGGAAAGTCATATTCTTGTAAAACAGAAAAAAAGGATTATTTACAAGTTTCTAGATCACCTTAAAATAAAGTCCGTTATGCTCAGAAGCAGCATCAATGTTTCTAATATTAAAACCTGAAAAGAACACTTTAATCAATTCTGTAAGTGAGATGAGTTTCAGAAGCCTTGAGATTTTGATAGCTAACATTTATTGGGTGCTGATTTTGTACCAGCTCTGTTGTATTTTAAAATTAACATCTTTAAATTTTAAAACAATCTTATCAGTAGGTATGTTTACTATTCCCCTTGGGACAAAGAAACTAAGGTCCAAAAAGAGAATTTGCCTGAGTTTACACAACAAGTAAGTTTTAGAGAATGTAACCCCCAGGTGCTCTGGCTCTATCGATTGAGCTCTTAACCATGACACAGTACTCTATTTCCAGAACCTTTAATATTGGTGGTTCTATATGGGCCCAACACTACATGCAGCGTTTTGTTTGCAGAGCTTAATACGAAAATCAATTTGAGACTACAGAAATCAATAGCTTGTATTTCCTTAAGGCAACCTTCCAAGAATTTAAGTACCGGGATTTTAAGGTCCTTTGAAGAACAATCAGGTTACACTGCTGGTTAA